TCATTCGCACCTTTCATTATGTTGCATCGGGGAAAGTTGAAATTTCCTATGTTTTTAAATGCACCACGAGCTCCCGCCCACCTCGGTAACTAAGGAAATCGCTGATATGTTTACTACAAAGATGTCCTCCTTGCTAGCTGGTAGCTCGGAGCTGGTCGGAGATATTACCCTGCTTTAAACGTTTCATTATTATTTACTATTTTTCTGTGGGCTTCCGTGCGGCTTCGGAAAATGCAACTGAAGCATCTTAAGACACTCTTGACACCCCAGGTAAGTCTGGCCGCTCTGAGCTTTAGCCTGATGCTAAAAGAGCCARTTAAAGTGACTCTCGCCATCGGAGCTAATGGCTAATGTGGTCGGAAACAGTCAAGAAATGTTTTTATTTTTTTTTTAAGTTGACTGTTTTACTGGTTCTATTTTTCTCCACAGGAGGGTGCTRCCAAAGTAACGTGCATGGCCTGGTCCCCGAACAACACAAAGTTTGCTGTTTGCACTGTGGACAGAGTGGTTCTGCTCTACGATGAGCAGGGAGAAAGAAGGGACAAGTTCTCCACCAAACCTCTGGACCCTAAGGTGACAGACATGCAGGGGAAAAAGTCCAATTTYCTTACAACAAAAACATCTCACATAACCTGAAATAAAAACCTCCTGTTAATAATTCACATGCACAACAAAAATAAATGTGGTGTAACAAGGCCCTGTCACACTACACAACTGATGCCAACTTATGAACATTTTAAAGACGTCTACCATGAAGATGGAAYTGAAAAAATCAACAGGRAGCTTCTTTTCTTTGTRTACATAATGTRATTCGWACAAACTGGTGAAATATACAAATGTTTCATAAGTTGTGTGTTTTATTTTATTTGTTTTTCAGTATGGAAAACAGAGCTACGTGGTAAACGACATGGTCTTCTCACCAGACTCCACCAAGATCGCCATCGGCCAGTCGGACAACATCATCTATATCTACAGAATCGGGGAGGATTGGTATTTCCCCCTCCTTTTTTAATGATTTAAATGATTTAAAATTCATTTTGAATATGTTTTTCCATGATATGTTTTGTTTTGTAGGGGTGACAAAAAGGCCATTTGCAACAAATTTGTTCAGACGGTGAGTAAAGAGGAGCTGAGTTTTTATTTATTTTAATTTTTTTTTACATTTTTAATGATCTTAACTATGTTCAAAATATGAAAAAAGTGTATCAGCCTGATTATTACTTGTGTTAATCAAGTGAGAAGAGACGAGAAAAGTTGTGACACAGCCTGGTTTGCAGTGTTGCATAAAGTACCTCAAAGCAGTGGCGGATCTAGGATTTATTTGAGCAAGGGGCCACCAAGGGGTCACAACATTCACAGAGGGGCCAGTCTTTGTTCTGCATCCCTTCACACAAATCCCCAGTTTTGRTAAGGTGTATACATTTAACCAGCCATGCGTTTAAACACTTGTAATGTGTTTTTTTAAAATAGTGTACCACTTTACAATAAGGCTCCCCTTATAGATGGCTTTTAAAGAGTTTATAGATAGGTTATTAATTAAACTGTAAACAAAAAGAAAAAAATTGTGTAGGTCTTCTGGACGGGTTCTTCTCTAATGAAACGTTTCGTCTCTCCTCCAAGAGACTTCTTCAGTCTGAGAGTTTCAGRCAAAATTCAGGCTTTTAAGCCCTGCCTCCATGTGACTGATACTCACATCACATGGCTATCGTTGACACCTAATTAACACCTATTGTTAACAGGGGGTGGAGTGATACTGGCAATTGCAGTGCTGTAGGAGGGGGACAGCTGAAAACGGAGGCCTCCACCTCTGTTTAATGATGGACGGTCTTTCTTCACAAAAATGTCTACTTTTACTCCTCTCTCAAACCAACGTTCCTCYCTATCAAGAATGAGAACATCCTCATCTCTGAAAGAGTGACCGCTGGCCTGTAAATGAGTGAAAACTGCAGAGTTCTGGCCATTAGATGTAGCTCGTCTGTGTTGGGACATTCTTTTGAACAGTGGCTGCTTTGTTTCCCTGATGTATAACTGGTCGCAGTCCTCCTGGCACTTAACAGCATATACAACATTGCTCTGTTTGTGCCGGGGCACCGGATCTTTGGGGTGAACCAGCCTTTGCCATAATGTGTTTTGGGGTTTGAAAGCYACTGGGACATCATGTTTAGAAAATAAACGTCTCAGTTTCTCCGAAACACCCGCAACATACGGAATAACCACTGGTTTGGGTCTGTGTTTGGGGTCTTCATTTTCACCTGAAGGTTGCATGGAGTCTTGATAGGAGGACTGCGACCAGTTATATAATAATATGTTATGTAATATGTTAAAATATGTGTTTCTTAATCTTATTGTGCTTACAATGAAGAAACCTCGTCTGAAATGTTTAATTAGATGTAATATGTACGTGAACAGATTTGTCTCATTTGGTAAGAAACTGGACTGTTTTGTCTTTATTGTCCTCACTCTAAAAATGAAATGTTGGATTTACTTAACCATGTTATGTTACCTGGTTCCCCTTAACTGAGTTGAGTAAATTCAAAGCAACATACTCATGTTCTTTGGCTAAAAAACTGGTATATTGCTTTGAATTTACTCAACTCAGTTAAGTGGAACCAGGTAACATAACATGGTTAAGTAAATCCAAAATTTCATTTTTTACAGTGCTTAATTGTTGCATAATATACATTTATTAATGATTAATAAAGTGTTTACAGATGAATTAGTAACCTGTCTATAAACTCTTTAAAAGCCTTCTATAAGGGGAGTCTTATTGTAACGTGGTACCAAAAAATCTTGCACAGTAAATTCTCAGTCAATTCCCAGTTTTTCATACATTTTACTGTACATAGATAAAATATTCTCAAACACATAACGTGTGAAAAAATCCAACCATCATTTGTCAGYTGAAAGACTTTTTGCAGGATTGTTCAAATTTTCTTAAGAAGAGAATAATTCTGTAAACTTGATTCATTCTGGACTTTACTGTTCGACTCATTAGCGCAACTAGTGTTTGAACATGGAACTGCATCCACCATCATCACTTACGGGCAAGGCACTTCAGGGGGCCAATCAGATTTCAGATGGGGCCAATGCCCCTGTGGCCCCGCCCCTAGAACAGCCCCTGCTTCAAAGTGATACTTGAGTAAAATTACAAGTATCTTACCGTAAAATTACTTTGGTAAAATGAACTTAAGTATTTAAAGTAAAAGTATTTAGTAAAAGTGAGCTGTTAGAATGATAAAAAGGACATTTATCGGGAGGTGACTTTACCAAAAAATTGTTTTCTAAAGACTATGATGACTAATGTTGTATTATAGTATTTATGTTGAAAAATTTGGGATCCACTAGGCTTTTTGTTTCAGCTGCATTTATATATCTTCAATACTAGACAACGTCCATCTGACATATTCTGCTGGAGTATGACATGATTGGTTCATACAGGTGTGATGGATGGTACAAACCAATAGAGTGTCAGAGCAGTATATATTTATACTTCTCATCCAAACACAGCTAAATTTACTCTATCCAGGATACGATCGATGGAATGAACAGAACGATTGAACGAACGATCGATGGAACGAATGGAACGATCGAAGGAACGATCGATGGAATGAACGGAATGATCGAACGAATGATCGAACGAACGGAACGATCGATCGAACGATCAAACAAACGGAACAAGCGATGGAATGAACGGAACGATCGAACGAACAATAGATGGAATGAACGGAACGATTGAACAAACGATTGAATGAACGAGCGGAATGATCGAACAAACGGAACGATCGAACGAACGTAACGACAAACAGAACGATCGAACGGAATGATCGATCGAACGAACGATCGAACAAACGAACGGAACGATCGACCGAATGAACGAACGTAACGATCGAACGAACTTTCAAACAAACGATTGATCCAACAAACGGAACGATCGATCGTTCTTTCGATCAGTAGATCAATCGTTCGTTCGTTCATTCATTCATTCCATTCGTTCGATCGTTCCGTTCGTTCGATCGATCGTTCCGTTTGTTCGATTGTTCGTTTGTTTGTTCGACCGTTCCGTTCTTTTGATCGATCGCTCCATTCGTTCGATCGTTTCGTTCGTTCGATCGATGGTTCGTTCGATCGATCGTTCCGTTTGTTCGTTTGTTTGTTCGACCGTTCCGTTCTTTCGATCGATCGCTCCATTCGTTCGATCGTTTCGTTCGTTCGATCGTTCCGTTCGTTCGATCGATCGTTCCGTTTGTTCGATTGTTCGTTTGTTTGTTCGACCGTTCCGTTCTTTCGATCGATCGCTCCATTCGTTCGATCGTTTCGTTCGTTCGATCGATGGTTCGTTCGTTCGATCATTCCATTCATTCGATCGTTCGTTCATTCGATCGAACTTTCCGTTCGTTCAATTGTTTGTTCATTTGTTCGTTCGATCGTTCGTTCGATCTTTCCGTTMGTTCGTTCGTTCAATCGATCGTTCCGTTCATTCGTTCATTCTTTCGTTCGATTAAAAAACAAGCCGGAATGAAAACAAGTAAAAGTTATAGGCCTTTTTTAAAAATATAAGGAGTAGAAATAAAAAGTCAGTAAAAAATAAACTATAGATAACCAAACTTTTTACGGTAACAAAGTATTTGTACTTAATTACTTTACAACTTTGTTTTTTTTTCTTAAGTGGAAGGTCAAAGGTCAGGCAGATCAGTGTTATTTTTCTATCTCTGTAAAAGCTTCAGTTTGATTGTGTTACTGTGATAACTGTGTTGCAGAGTGCAGTGACTCGCCTCTTGTGGCTCGCAGAAAACGCTGTCGTTTACGGCTTGGTTGATGGAAAGGTACGTCGCTAACAGTCCACCATCAATGCCTGCTATCTTGAAAGGCATGCATCTGTTTGCCTGTCGGTTAGCAAAAATGTCAAGTGTTTGATTTAACCTCTCAGAAAGTAATCATTGGATGAACGTCTACAGCTGATTCATAGCTGGAGTCAAAATTCAAGATGGCTGCCACGGCTAACCTGCTTCCTCTTTGAACAGGTTCGCCTCGCCAACACCCAGACAAATAAATCCTCCACCATCTATGCCACGGAGTCCTGCGTTGTCTCGTTGACGTGCAAGTAAATACCTTTAATTCTAACATTTGTTATTGGTCCAACTGRTGTGTTGTACTGATGGTATCTGAACTCTATCAGTGTTTCTGGGAAAGGCATCCTGTCCGGCCACGCTGATGGGACCGTTGTGCGTTTCTTCTTTGACGATGAAGGCTCGGGGGAATCTCAGGTACAGACGGCCACATGAGTCCACGCCATAGACTTGAATAAGAACACTAGACTGAGCCCCGCCCATCCCGTCCACTGGTAGTGTCTGTGACATCATGGAGGAGCAGAAACATAAAC